CCATTGCCTGGGAGCTATACCTATGTATCCAGCTGAAAGTTGCACTGATCCAGCTGAATCGACCCGGGTCCTCCTGAGTGCACACCTGGGCAGTCTCGCCTCCCGAGTTGGACATCTGGAGAGAAACTTCAAGCGATAAAGACCACTAGAAACACTTTCAAAGAAAGTAGTAGTTTGGCATGTACACTCTAGTACAGACGTGACTGCTCATACAAATACAGGCAGTTGCATGGTGGTCATGGCCTCGTTCGACATGGAGGAAAGGTTCAGCCCGGAAAGAGCGTTTGGTCAATCTCCTCCACGCAGTTTTAAGCAAACAGCGGATGTGTGTTTAATCATCAATGTTTTTGGGGTAGACGTTACCCATGGGATCGACGAACAGGGATAGCAAGGGGCATCAGCCCATGCTGTGCTAGGGACTCACCTGGGCACCAAGGTATTTCAACGCAAGCAAGCAGCTGCGCAGACACATCAATCATTCTGATATTCCAGCAGCGTTTGCTTAACCATTACGCGCTCCTCATAATATAGCCACGGTAAGCAGCTCGTAGGCGTCTCGCCATCTCTCAACGAGTGACATCAACGGTGAGCTTATCGCTCCTGCCACGCCACGTGGAATCTGACAGGCAAATCTATTCTACGAAAGCCTATGCCCATTGAAGCATGTCCAGCCGTATCGCAGCGTTGAGGTATCCCAGGATACGGTACCTCGATATGCAGTCCCCGGTCGCAGATATCGGGCGGAATATTTCCGAAGAGACCTTGGAACCTTGGAAGCACCAAAGGTGTCTTATCCATCGCGAACACTAATCCAATCATGTAAGCGGTCACCCATTTCCATACCTCTGTGTACCACCTACAACTTCGCTGCGGGGATCGCACAGCACAAGAAAGATGGCGGACGGAGGATACGGCTGCCCAACCTCTTGACAAGCCACCTTCTTGTCGTGGGTGTCGTGTGCCCTGGCGTGTCGCAGCCCGCGATCTCCTCCACACCTCTCCCTCTAAGTTAGTCTAGCCGAACCGCCGAACCACGCAACTGATAAAGAGCAGAGAGATAGGCGTTCGCGCAGCGAATGACGAACGTCTACCACCCCTACTAAGAGATTATGACGCCGCACCCAAACACCGTTGCAGCAAGGCTTCGCGTGTACTCTCCCACTTGGAGTAGTGACACCCCGCTTGCAACCCTGCTGCGCGGTGATATGCAGACTGGGGTGTGGGTGTATATAGACAAGATGCTGCGCTTCTATGCGTTGCGGTGCTATTGGAGTAAGACTTCGTATCGCGACTTCTTCTTATTCTTTGACTGCGACTGCGACGGCGCGCGCATGCATTTCGCGTTGCAACGATGACGACTTCCCAGCATCGGAACCACTCCGTCGCGGAAGAACCGGTGACATCTGTTCTTCCAGATGGCGATATACCCTACGATCCCACGCATTCCCTCAATCCAGATGAAGAAGTTCTGGCGGCCCTCGGATACAAATCGGAGTTCAAGAGAGAATTTTCGCTGTTTACCACCTTCTGTGTCAGTTTTGCGGTTCTGGGTCTACTGCCTAGTTTCGCGTCTACGCTCTATTATGGCATGGGCTATGCGGGAACGGCTGGAATGACTTGGGGCTGGATTGTGGCCATGGTTGGTATTCAATGTGTGGCTATGAGCATGGCAGAGCTATGTAGTAGCATGCCCACGAGCGGAGGTTTATACTATGCTTCTGCTGTCCTGGCACCACCTGGTTGGGGACCTTTTGCTGCTTGGCTTACTGGCTGGAGTAATTGGCTGGCCCAGATTACGGCGGCACCGTCCGGCAAGTACAAACCGCTATCTCGTTCGCGACGGGTATGGACATAGAATTGACTGTTTGAGTAGTCAATTATGGAATTGCGGCCATGATACTGGCGGCGGCTAGTATCAATGACCCATCTTACGTCCCCACGGATTATCAGACTTTCCTGTTGACGGTCTTCATCATGATTCTTCATGCGATCCTTTCCTCTATGCCGACACGTTGGCTTGCAAAGTTCAACTCCGCTGGTTCCACGTTCAACTTCATTGCGTTGATTGTGGTCATCATAATGATCCCAGCTGGTACGGACCGTACAGAGCGCGGTCTACCTCGTTTTGCCCCGTCGAGCGAGGTCTGGGGCACAATCTATGAAGGTACATCCTTCCCAGCTGGTATATCAGTTCTGATGTCCTTTATCGGCGTCATCTGGACCATGTCAGGTTACGACTCGCCATTCCATCTTGCGGAAGAATGCTCGAATGCGAACCTGGCTTCTCCGCGCGCTATTGTCTTGACATCCGCCACAGGAGGATTCTTTGGCTGGTTCCTTCAGCTTGTCGTGGCATACACTGTCGTTGATATCGACCTAGTCCTCGAGTCTGAGCTTGGGCAGCCCTTCGCTGCCTACCTGATGCAATGCATGTCGCAGAAGATGACGCTGGCCATCCTTGCTCTCACCATTATTGCCGGGTTCAGCATGGGTCAAGGATGCATGATTGCGGCAAGCAGAGTGACATTCGCGTACGCGCGTGATGACTGCTTCCCGTTGTCCAAGTACTGGAAGAGGGTCAACAAACACACGCAGACACCTGCAAATGCCGTTTGGTTCAACTGCGCAATCGGCATACTGTGCCTGCTGCTCATATTTGGCGGTGAGCTGGCTGTTGGAGCGCTGTTCTCCATTGGTGCTATCGCGGCTTTTGTGTAAGTGCTGGTGAGCTTGGTGTGCGTGCCGTACTGACATCTGATAGTGCATTCACCATACCCATTGCTATCCGTGTCTTCTTCGTAGGCAATCGCTTCAGACCGGGTCCATGGAACTTGGGGAAATACTCCAGCGCAATTGGTAGCGTTGCATGCATCTTTGTCTTGCTCATGATACCTATCTTATGCTTCCCCAGCGTAACCGGACCGGACTTGACGTAAGTCTCACCAACACTTTCACGCTACTTTGACAAGGCTAACGCACCAATAGCGTGGCAGACATGAACTGGACATGCGTCGTTTACGGTGGTCCGATGTTCTTGGTAACGATATGGTGGTTCGTTTCCGCACACAAGTGGTTCAAGGGCCCCAAGGTCAACATCGAGCACATGATGCTTGGACGGGAAGAAGCCGTTCTGATCGGACAGGGGTCAGTGGGCGATGGAAAAGATGGTGATAACTCGTTGGGTGATATGAAAGGTCCGGAGGAGATCACAAAGTCGTAAAGGAGGCTGACCCTGGTTTACGAAAGCTCGCATGGACAGTATAACAGAGCATGCTATATTAGCAAGTCCTCTCGGGTCTACTATTAGAAAGGAAAATATGCCAATTTAGTCCGAATGTGTCCACAGGGAGTGATGCGCCGGGTAGGATACGACCTCGGGACTCTGGCAGATCCGTCATGTCACACAGATGAGCCTGATCTTCTCAGCGGGTCAGCCAAGGTTACACCTGGGTTAATTAGCGTCGTATACTGAGTTTTGCGAGGCAACGCACTTGTATAGGCGTGGTGTCGCGAATTTTGGGTGGGTCAGGTGCTGGTCAATGGCCCCGCGCTTCGGCTGCAAGACGGCGTGTCGCGGGGCACATGAGTGAACTTACGCCACCTTTGATCGGCAGACTGGAGACGTGATTGAAGCGATCTCATGGCATGATCACGTCCAAGCTGATGTGTTCACTGCACTTTGTGAGATTATAAATTATGCGTTGCTCCGTTTTGTCATCAACCAACTACTCAACCACCAGGTTGATCAATCTTCAGTAGTATAGTGGTCAGTATTTCCGCTTGTCACCTATCAGGCAACTCGCGGGAGACCGGGGTTCAATTCCCCGCTGGAGAGCTCTCATTTTTGTTTTTGCGTGGTAGTCGTAAACCCCGGCTATACGATTCCACCAGCAACATGTCCATTGGTTTGAGGTCGGCAATCCCATGCATCCTTTGGAGAATCTGCACTTTTTTTTTCCGATGCAAGTCACGTCACAAAGTCAACGCTAATGTTGGTCTATCGTGAGTGTTATGTCGTACTTCGTTCAAGTCCTTGCCAAGGGCGTGGCTCGCGTCTGCGATGCCTCCGCCGATGCGACCCTCGCAGCTACCTCCGTCCCCACCATACTCCCCGAACCGTCCGGAATATTTCGAGACACCACGATCTTCAGAACATATCTCAGAGCTAACAGCCCAGATGTCTCCTCACTATCATACTCTAATGCGCAGAAACGACGCGTGCCGCGACGCTGTAAAACGAACAGCATGCGCGTCGGCGTTATGTTGACCAAGACCACCAGGGCGCACCGCTCCGTCGGAATCCCATCAGCCTCCAAATACTGATGAGGCTCTTTTGGAAGCCTCAATCTGTTTCAGATCTACATTATGCTTCATCGTAGTGACGCTGACGCCAACCAAGCCAAGCCTGACGAGAGGCCAAGGTATCTCCCCGAGCAGCAGAAACATGCAATGCAATGAACTCGTCAGCTCCAAACGGTAATGTGGAATTGCACCAAAATACATGTCTCCATTTACACCATCCCTTCGACAATCTCCGTTCAGAACTCGCGTATTAGAGCAGGCCCAGCAAGTCCGTGGGCGGGATGTGTAACCACACTCCGCAAATACCATACCTGACCGCAAAGTCCGACCACAGCGCGTTCGCTGTGTAAGCCTCCGTCATGCACCAAATTGGAGACAAAATCCGCTAGTAGTATAATCTGCCTAGAAAGATCAATGCCAGAACCTCTGTGCTCAAGACAAGCACGGTGAAGCTCTTGGGACCGGACATGCCAACGCCGCCATGCCAGGCTGGCTGTCAACCTGACGCCCAGTTGCTACGAATACACAGCCGCATAATCCGGCGACGTTGGCATCCCAAGAGAATGCCGCCGTAGCATTCGTCACCTCGTGTAGCTTGTCATCTCGACCATGTCTTGGAAGGACCTCTCCCAAGTCTCTTTTCTACCCCCTTCCTCTTCTGATTCACACATACATAGCTAGCACCCAGTAGCAATAAGATGTTCGGACATCCAAGCTACAAGCCCATCTCCATCCCTTCGCCATCCCCTTCCACTCGTTCCAAAGCCATGTACGCACCTCCGCGCTTCCTCACGGGCAAGTTCTTCATCTGGCTCTGTCTTTTCCTCATCGGCTTCCCCATCCTCCTCTGGAACCACCCTAACTTAGAGAACCTCTCCGTTCCGTATGCCCGACCCCAACCGCGACCCAACGCCCAATTCGCTGCCCACGGCGACTCGAAATGCTTACCTGAAGTGTCGGCTGAACTCATCGAAGCAGCAACTGCGAAACGCGCTACTTGTCGGAAGTACTCACCTTTTGCAACGGGGCGGGCGCGCATCGCGACTGTGACGGCGCATTTCGGCAAGCCCCAGGAACATTATCAGAAAGCGTTCAAGACGCATCTCCAACATGCCTTGGTGCATGGTACGGAGGTCAGGGTGATGTGCGATCCGATCATAGATGATCTGTGGAACAAACCCGCTTTCATCCTCAACCTACTCATGCGGGAGATGTTGAAGCCAGAGAAGGAGCGGTTGGAATGGATACAATGGGTTGATCGTGACACCATCATCCTCGATCAATGCCGTCCGATATCCAGTTTCCTGCCACCAGAGAAAGCGCGCTTCGGGTCCTGGTGGCGTCGCTCCTCCTCTTCCGACGACGGCAACGAAGACGATAAGCAAGCCCCAGCACCAGCAAATACAACAAACCTCCTCGTAACACGCGACTGGAACGGTCTCAACAACGGCATCTTCCTCCTCCGCGTCAACGCGTGGGCCATCGAACTCTTCACCGCCATCCTCGCATTCCGCCACTACAAACCGGAGATCGACCTCCCCTTCACCGAGCAATCTGCCATGGAAGAGGTTCTGAAAACAGAGCAATTCAGAGACCAAGCGAGATATGTGCCGCAACATTGGTTCAACGGGTATGAAGAGGAGGGCACGCAGAAGTTTCTGGAGAGGGAGGATGTAGAGGGGTTGAAGGAACGGGATGTGAGGAGGGGGGATTACCTGGTTCATTTTGCGGGGAGGGGGAACAGGGGCACTTTGTTGATGGCGTGGAGTGGTATGTTGGAGGGGGCGGGGGATGTCTGGGAGGAGGGGAGGGTGCAGAGAGATGTTTCGGGTGAGGTCGCGGAGTTTTGGAGGGAGCTTGGGTATGGGGTATGATGGCGTGTTTGGTCAATTAGCTCTTTTGTTTGTTGAAAATTCGTCTCATTCCAATTGTATTATATACCCTTGCAATTCAATAGTAGCTTGAGCTTGGTGCATAGTCCGCTTTTGTGCCCGGGAAAGCGCCGGCTGGAGGGTTGCGGTCGTCCTCGTCCGCGCTGTCGTCTTCGTTTCCTTCGAAAGCCTCGCTTGGATCCGGTGGCGCCCGCATGCGGATCAGAGCGTCTTCGTCGAGCGCGGGGACGATGAACATCTTGGTGGTGTGATACTCGCGTCCAGAGGGCATGCTTGCTAGCAATGGCTCTGAGGGAGGTACTATTTGAATGCCAACCTGGTATAGTCAGTTGATCATGCGCAATGAACCAGCGAAGGTGGGTATACATACAGTGTCGTTCTGTTTCTCCCACTTCTTCAACAACATATCGACGATCCGTCCTTCTTCGAACTTGCCTGCATCAGTGCCCCAGTCCACACCTTTTTCGATCTTGCGATCTTCCCTCTTCTCCTGCCATTCTTTCTTCAATTTGGAGAAACCTGACGACTTCTTCTCTTCCTCCGCACCCAGCGATGCAAAACCCAGCTCCTTCTTTGCGCCTCGTAGCCACGCGATGCCCTCGCCTGTTTTACCACCTCCTTCAGCATCGCAGGCAAGGAACCGACACGCCTTGCCTTTGGCGGTCCGCCTCAGATCATCCACGTATTTCAGGAGATCGTCGTTAATCTTGGAAGACCGCCCCAGCATAGCCTGGGCTTTCGCAGCGTGTTCTGAAGAAGCAAGGCACAGTCGAGCGAAGAGATGCGCGCGGACCTTGGGTATATCGACGCCCCTGAACATCCAGTCTTTGTTCTGCTTGTTCCGGTCTTCTATCACGACCGCTGGGTATGGATCGTCTTTCAGGACGGTGATGAGTGTAGCTTCAGCCATAGTGAGCTCCGCCAACGCTCCCAGCACAGCCGCGGATATGTCTATAGCCGCGGGCTGTGAGTTGTACTGCCCTGCCCGATTCACCAAGTATGTGTGTATGGAGTTTGCTTCGAGAAAGTGCTTCATGGCAGCACCGATTGCGGTCGCGCGTTGTTCGGGCGTGGGTACGGTCGCATTGTAGAGGGTGTGTAGCTGTGCTCGAGCCTGGAGGCTGTATACGTATGCCAGTGTTGAGAGAGTATAGCAGAGCTCGCTCTCAAGACTCTTGAGCTTAACTCTTGCTGGCTCGCGACCCGGTATCGAGGACCCCAGCGTCGAGCGCCATTCTACTTCTAGCTCCTTGACCAAGACCAAGTCGATCTCTTCGCCGGCGCAGCTTGCACCACTGAGTCCCGCATCGAGGGCAAACAGATACGGTATGTAGTCGTTGAGGGCGGATGTTACGGTGGAGAGGTTTGAGGCCTGTGAGGCAGGTGGTATGCGCTTGTGTCGCTTGAGTGCGTCTCGAAGGACGCCTCGCGCTGTGGTCGCGCAGTTCGGTAGGGACGGATGGGTGCTGCTGTTGAAGTAATCGGTAAAGGATATACTGGAGGTAGTTGGTAGGACGAAGGGGAAGGGCATCTTGCTGGGTGTGGACTGTTGCTGGTCGGAGCGGTCGCTGACGCAGGTACGCGGTGGTAGCGGGGTTGGGGAGCTAGCCTTGGCCTCATCATATCAAGAGCCTGGGGAGCCACAAAGAGTCCGGAACGCACGCCTGGAACAGAAGACCTAGAAATTTGAGGTTTCACGTCAGTGGGAAAAGAAAACATGCGAACTGTACCACTGCAGTTGTAAACTGGTTCCAATAATTCGTGCTACATCAGTCTCTCCTCCGGCATGTATATGTACAGTTTCGCCAGTACGAGAGAATCGGTGCGTTTCTACAGCATACGCTTGTTGAACGCCAAAAGCCTTTGTCTTCGTCTGGTGGTGTTTCCCGCTGCGTGTTGTGTATGGTCTGCCTGTTGTCTGTCCTTCATGCAAGCGATCACCGCTGTTGGCGGGCCGCTTATCGCTTCAACGCATCGTCGACGTAGTTTTGTTGGGCAAAGAGGTATCCCTTGACCTTTGCGTCCTTGAGGAGCTCGAAGTAACGCTCTGTTCAGCCTGTGTTAGCCTTCGCGCTGTCATGGCGTACATCGTCAGACGGCCTTGCACCGCTGCTACCAGCCCCAAATTCGACCTCTTTTCGTTCTGCGCGCGTCCTTCTTGCCCGCGAAATAGAAGAAGACCTACCTCGCAAATGTCCACACTTCTCCAAGTGGTTGACCCCCTCCCTCCGGTAGCACTTGCCCATCTCGTCCCTGACCAATCTCGCCATCATGCTCCTGACCCACTGCTCCCTGATAATAGCATCTTGCGCGCCCTTGAGCGCAGTGTTGTCCTCGTAGTCGACACCGTCAAAGGTTGGCGCAACCTTTGGCTTTTTGGCAAGGAAGAGTTCGGACTCTGGGGTCGGCATTGCGGCGGCGGGGAGTGCGTTCGGGGGTGACGGTCGTGTATATAGTTTCCGAGGACTCCGTCGAGTGATTTGGAGACGTGCGACGGGGCAATTGGCGGTGTTGCGAGGTGTCGTGGTCGTGATTGTTGGTGAGCTTTGCAAGGGCCGAGCTGCGATTGGCGGCGGTGCACGTGATGCTGCATCACCACCAGCGCCCTCCAAGACCGCGCAGGATTACTCTCAGTTTTCGCTATGGCGTTTTTCTTTCTCTCTTTTAGATACAATCAACCTCTGTTCATGTCACTTCGTCTTTTTCCTCTTTCTTGCCACGATCCCACCATCCCCCCATCGCAACACCCCAACCCGCACCCGTCTGCTGATTTCCATCATTTTGCAACTTCGCATCTCCTTGATACTTCACGTGCCATCTCGCAGGATCAAATCTGATCTCTTTCATGGAAGAGTACAGAAGTCTTAGTCTTTCTTCTCTCTCTTCTTCACAAAGCGGGCACAAGCGCTCGAGCCGGATAGTGTGCAGGGGATGTACACGACCTTCTTCGCAAGTCGGCTGGATATCGTTGTCCTCTAGAGCTGGAGGATTCGGCAGTGAAGTTTTGGCTCTTGAACTAGTAGTAGGTGTGTGCGACGAGGCAGTTCTACCATCTGCGTTTGGAGTCTGGAGAACGTCGGTAGTTGACAGAGGATTTGTATGATGTGTCTTGTGATGGTCTGCTTGTGCAGCTGAATGTAAGCTCTGCGAATTATCTCCGTATGTGGTTGCTCTGTCTGCTTTTTCAATCGAGTCATCGTCTGGCACCAACGTCATTTGGGAGTCTCTGCCCTTGCGACTGCTTCCCGAAGAACTCTCGCCTGCGGTAGCTAGATCCTCATGCTGTGTTGATGGCGAATTCGACTTCTTTCCACTCTCCGTCTGCACATTCTTACAGTGCCTAACCGGCGTCTCTGAAAAAGTTGAGTGGCCGCAGCCAACAAAGATGTAAAGTCGATAGTAGCACATTGCGTTGACGTTTACAACAGACTCTGTCTGGGAACATGGAGCTTTGTTTAAGATATCGTTGTGTAGTGACTGGTGATTGCTCGCTGAACACGCTGTTATGAAACGTGTACCAATAGTGCTTTGTCTACTTCACCGCGGACATGTCTAATTTCGTATTGACAAAGACTCAGCGAAGGGTCAGACCCTGTGAGCAAACGGCAGTGTGAGTAAGAGCACACTATGACTGGAATGCACTGACACTTCTGTGGGCCTACACGGCTGTTATATTACAGTTTTACATACAGTGGTATCTTGAAAGGACTACTTTGAAAGATGTTGACACAAACACCTACGCTATGCTTGATGCTGCAAGGAATCGTTGAGAATTCATCATACCGCTGTCTCCTTCTCTTTCGCGACATCAGGATTGCTTGTCTGCGCCTCAGGGTCGAGCGGTAATGACCCCTTACTGGCCCTCTTCTTCCGCCTCGCTGCGCGCTCGGCTTCCCTCTCGAGCCTCTTTGCCTTTTCTACCTCGATTCCAGTCTTGGTCTCCTCGTGCTGTTTGTCGAGCTTGTTACGCGTGATCAAGAGGCTGACTGCGAGACCCACGACAGAAAATGCAACATAGAGTATCCACATGGTGCTCAGTGAGTCTGCGAATGCCTTCCGCGCGACGAACTTTTGCTCATTGGGGAGGGACTGAATAAGCCCGACGTTGGCGCCGGCGGAACCACCACCGAACCTCGACGCAGTTTCGGGACCGAGCGAAGTGGCCAGTTGAGACTGCTTCGACTTCATCTCGTTGTTGAAGATGACTCCACCTACAACGACCGAGATGGCGCTACCAAGGTTCCGAGTAAAGCCGAATGTTGCAGTCGCAGTAGCGATGTCGCGTTTCTGGGAGCATGTCAGCATCGGTAGACTAACGAATGGCAACTATGGTTGCTCTACCGCAACCCCGCCTCTAGTGTCATGTGTAATGATCACGCGTGCAGACGCCAAAAAACAAACTTTTGATGGAACTTACCGGTACGAGACTCTGGAGTGCAATGAGCGGTGATTGAAAGTTTGGACCAACACCAATTCCAGCAATGATCTGATAGACGATGATCTTGGCCCAAGAACTGTTGACGTCAAAGTCGATGAAAAGTCCAAAGCCCAATGTCATCATAATCATGCCGAACCAGATCATAGGTAGATACTGTCCAGTTTTCTTGATGAAGATACCAGTGAAAGCTGAAAGGAATGACAGTGACACTGCGGTAGGCAGTAGATAAACTCCCGAAAGGATAGGTGTCGCGCCAAGCACAGCCTGAAAGTAAAGTGGGAGGAAGTAGTTGCCACTGATGAAGACGAAGGAGTGGAAGAAGCAGGTAGCCAGGGCAGCCAGATTCGATCGCTTGGAGAAGAGATCGAGGGGCATGAGAGGGTACGGTGCTACCCGCCACTCAATCGCGAAGAAGATGCCAATGACTACGGCTCCGAAGATGATGAGACACAGCACTGTGGCAGAATCCCAAGGATGTGAGATGCCTCCGAATTCCAGGCCGAGGAGCAGCATAATGACTCCACCGACCATGGCGAGCGAACCC